TGTGTGTGTGTGTGTGTGTGTTTTACTTAGAGTATATGCGTCATTAAATGAGTTTCCAACCCATAGGGTGCAGATGCCCATGACTGATATAGCTGATCTTTGTGTGTGTGTGTGTGTGTGTGTCAGGGGTTCTAATAGCCTCCAGATTATCACTGTGTAGTCCAGCCGCTCTCAATTAAAATCCCATTTCCTGTCACGGGTACTAGATCAAAATAGGCTGTGTGTGGGACTGTGGATGCACTTTTTGCCTTAATGCCTGTGTTCTAGTTTTTGATGGTGGCGTGGAGGGGCTTTTGGTGAATCCATAAATCTGCTCTCCTTTTGGTTTCTAGTCCATCCGTGCTAGTTCAACCCTATTTCTAATTGTCGCCGTTACAGAAACTAGCAATACAGGTTACTTCTGTATCAATTCCCCTAAATACAGATTCAAAACAATTTTTGTAGTGCATTAGTTTTTCCCCAGAGTCAAATTTGAGGTTACACACTCCGACTTCTATTTAATGGGCTCTTACACTCATCTACACAGCTAGAAATCTCACTATCTGCCCTCTCTCTTTTCTTCTCTCCATCCAGACTATAGTGGAGTTAACCCAGGAGAGAGACTGTGTGCAGCTGTCTCCACTGGCTCCTTGTCCTACCCAGTCTCCCGGTGACTCCCCCAGTATGAGGAGGACCGAAAGCAGGCAGCACCTCTCTGTGGAGTTGGCTGATGCCAAGGCCAAGATCAGACGCCTTCGACAGGAACTGTGAGTGCCCTGACTTTATCAGCTAGAAAAACAATTTCTGAAATTAGACAGTAACTTTTAATCCTGATCTTGTTTTCTACTGTAGTTCTCTTTTTTTTGTTTCTCTTACTGTCACAAGGCGTCTGTGATCAGTCTTCTGAAAATACAGTTTACTGTACCGATACGCACTGATTGTGAAACTTCCTCTTAATTTAACTTTTGTTCCATAATTTGTACATTTGTTGTGGATGTCCTTATATCAGGAGTGTATTATTGTCCTTTTTTTACAGTTATTTATTCATTATCTATTTTATTATATAGTGATCACTGAGTATATGCTCATAGTGGTCAACCCATGTGATTATTGGGACTGTATTCAAGCCTCAAACATGATGCTGAAAGAACAACAGTGACCATGCAGGGAGGATAAGTGATGATACCCGCAGTCCATTTCCTCCCTACATCATGATTCCTCACACAACACCAGGCTGCTGGGATGTTACATTACGTCTCACACACACACACACAGGAACACACACACACACAAACCCCTACTCACAAACCCCAGCCTTTTAAAATTCTGCCTATGAATAATAGAGCTTCCTTTTTTAAAGTGCTATAATCCCTTGCCAGACAAAGGCTTTATGGTCAACACAGGCCAGTTAGAAGAAAAAGAGCAAGGGGAAGTATTTAAATGTTGCACAAACGTAACATCTAATTTGACAGAGTGGCTGGCGTCATAAGGTCGGTGTTGATCCTGAATGCTGAGAGGTCTTCTTTTATTGTAAGAAGGTTAAGAGGTTTCGATTACTTCATAGTCTGTTCATTTTACACAGTGTTTTCAAGATTATGTCCCCACCGAAACTAATCTTAGATTAGATCTCCGTCAGGCCAGACAACGTGTAGTTCCTACTTCAAGGGAATCATTTGTGCGCTTGAATGGATGTTATTTCCAGACTATCAGTCTATTCATCACCTTAACAGCATAAAAATGAACAAATTTTGAGTAAGAGTTTTGTCAGAACTGCTCAAATTTGTAAAAAAAACAACAACATTCAACATGCCCAAACCAGCCAAAAAGCTTCCTCATGCAAAGTTGTCCTCCACTGTGTTCTTTAGCAGAGACATAATGTAAGAATAACTAATTCACAGGCGTCCTAATGATTTGGAAACGATTGTTGTCTCTGGGTGCATGCACAGACAGATATTGTCTCTGCATACAAATGTAGATGTCTGTGTCTACTGTGTGTGTGTGTGTGTGTGT